CGCGCTGCACTGGCACCGGGACTGGCACTGCAGTGACACCGGCACTGAGGGGACCCGCGCTGCACTGGCACCGGGACTGGCACTGCAGTGACACCGGCACTGAGGGGACCCGCGCTGCACTGGCACCGGGACTGGCACTGCAGTGACACTGGCACTGAGGGGACCCGCGCTGCACTGCGCTGGCACTGCCTGGGACGGGTCTCGAGCCCACACCGGCACTGACTGGGGCACAGCACTGTACTGGCGCTGTAGGCACTCTGGACTGCAAGGGCTGGCATTGCATCAGCACTGGCACGGCGTGGGGACCAGCACGACACGGCACCGGCACCGTGGCCCCACGTGCGGCGTCTGGTTCAGGCCTGGCACCGGGCTGGGCACCGGTGCTGCACCCGCAGCAGTGACACCGACACCGTGCTCACAGCACAGGCAGGCACAGGGCACACCCTGCACCCCTGTAACCCCTGCACCCCTGTAACCTCTGCGCCCCTATAAGCCCTGCACCCCTGTACCACCCACCCCTCTGTGCTGCTGTAAACCCTGAACCCCCACTACCCACTGCACTCCTGTACCCCCTGCAACCCCTGAACCCCCTGCATTCCCTTGTCCCCCCTGTCCCCCTGCACCATTTGTACCCACTGCACCTCTGTGGGTGCTGCACATGCAGGCTCGGAGCCTCAGGTGCCAGTGCTGCGTCTGCCCTGGGACCGGGCACAGCCCCTGCACCCGTGACACTGCAGGCACAGCACACAGGAACCCCGTTGTCTGGAGCAGCACATGGACACACTACACACGTGAAGACACCGCACATGAGACATGCACAGCACACGGCACACGCACTGCACACCCCTGCCTGGCAGTGCCCCGGGCTCCCTGCACACGCTGCACACGGAGCACACAGGACGAGCTGCGTGTGGGGCAGGACCACGCGCAGAGACCGTGCACTGCACACTGCACACGTCCTGCACACGTGCTGCACACACATTACACACGTGTGACCCCCCCCCGACACTCCCCCTGCCCAGGACGGGGGTTCAGGCTGGGGTGTGCCCCCCCTAGAGTGCCCCCTGGGGTGCTGGAGGGCGCAGAGGGTGATGTTGGGGGGTGCACTGGGTGCCCCCCACCCGCTCGGGTCCCGCAGGCTCCCTGGGCCGTGGTGGTGGTGGGGCCACGTGGCAGCTCAGGCCTCCCGTG